TCTGCACTTCGAGGTTCACAAAGTGCTGCGCCTGCCACGAAATCTGCAAGCGAGCCACATGTCCAAAAGTCACGATTCACTGCACCTGTCACAATCAGAGCGCCTCGAAGATCACCGCCATTTAAAGTGCTGCGCCTGCCACAAAGTCTGCATATCTCGACGTGAAACCGCTCTGGACCACCAAAGCACGAGGTTTCCCTTGCACGTGCCACGAAAAGCAACCACCAGGTGCGAGAATGCGCACGGCGCCGCAACGAGAGCGTAGTCGCTAAAGGCACCCGCCGCGAGCCCCCAGATTTCGCGAGCCTGCGCAGTCGAAATGCGCGTCGACGATTTCGAGACGCATGGATGTACTGTAAATACGAATTTCCCGTAAGCGCGCGCCCCAGCGATCTAAGCACACCTCCTTGACACCTACCGCAACTAAGTCCACGCGTACTGTTTGGGGAACATGCCTACCCTCGAATCAAACCCGCGAATCATACCACCTATTATTCGAACTTCCCAGCCCGACTTGCCAGGTCCTGCAGCTTCTATGAAACCAAAGAAGCCGAGCCGCACGCAGGCCCAATAATGGCGGGGGGCCTGTGGAGCTTGTGCCAATTAGTGAAGATGTTATGTGCTATCACACACACACACGGACAAGGACAGTTCCATGTCCGTGAAACATAATCAGGAAAGATAAGCCAGGTGGCAAGGTGGAACGTGTTTATCCCAGTTCACAAAACCGCAAGTCGCGAGGCCAAAGCAGCATCGTCGTCAACGGGTCCAGCTTGTTCCGGGCTGAAGGCCTCCTGTTTCCGAGTTTCCTCGTGAGTTTGGTGCTTGTTGGTGCCAATCCACCAAGAAGAACAACCCGGTTTTCCATATTCTGCACATGAGCCGCGCTAAGAACCTCCCTGTTCATGTTTAGTAGTGGGCTTGTCATATGAATCCTTCGCGTAAGCAAAACTCTGATGTGCGTAAGGTTGCGTAAGCGTTTTTTTGTGAGATGAAACTTGCGTAAGCCGCGTAAGAAAGTCGAAATTTAACGTACATGTCACATGTATTCTTGAAATGTTTGGAAATTCTATGGAGACCTTTGTTGATGAAGCCTTGCATTGGATCTTTTTCTTGGCAATTGGTATGGTCGAAGGTGATTGGCTCCACAGAAAGAAGGGTTCTTGTGGTTCCTGTAGTCATTTATATACAGAACATAGGCATCAGGACAGAGATTTTATTGGTCAACACATGCAAACATTACTCCTATAGCCATACAAACAACTCCCATAGCCATAAAGTCTACCAGCAGTTGTCAGACACACTATGTCACCATGCAGTTATCGGTTTTGGTGTCGGTAATACGCGTAAGGCGCGCGTAAGCTTCGCGTAAGCTGCGCGTAAGCCCCCCTCTCTTTTGTAGACGGTGGCCCATGATGCCTCCTAAAAAGCAGGCTTTTTCTGACTTGCAATGGTGCCAAAGGCAAAGCATTGTCCAGACCATCTACGAAATCCTGGCTGCTCACGGCCCTACAGCCGCGGACGTAACAAACCTGCTGTGTGCTCTACTTTGCTTGGAAAACAGATGGCGCGTAAGCTGGCGCTGTGGCCGGGTGCAAGATTGTGTTCGCGTAAGTGTTGCGTAAGCCCCTTTGTGTGCAAAGTGTGCGCGTAAGCTGCCATTGTGGTGGCGTAAGCCAGGCGTAAGCTGCTGCGTAAGGAAAGTCTTACGACATAGGCAGATGCCACACGTTTTGAGCACAGCTCACATGGACTTGTGAGCTGAGCATTACACAGCGCCCTTGTCCAGAAGCATGGGTTCGATTCTGCCCTGGTCTCTGTAGATTGGCTCAACCTATCCAAGCCAGGGAGAAAAAGGTGGTGGTGGCAATGAGGGCTTGGAAGCTGGTGGAGGAGCCTGTGGTGGGCCACTGGACCTCTGTTGGATCTTCTGAAGACCTGCTAGCATGCAGGAGTGACTGGGTGCCAGTGGTTGATAGGAATGGGCTGCCCCTGTGCTTGCCAGTGGCACCATTAGGGGCATATAGCACTGTGCAACTGCCAGGGTGTGGCTACAAAGAGTTGTTTCACAGGCAGCTCCTCCAAGACTTGCTAGGGAGGCAGCTGCCAGGTAATGTAGATGTCCACAACAGGGTTTCGAGCCCCGCTGCTGCTCAAGGGCAGCGCTATAGCCCAGGACAAGCAAGTAAACAACCCTTGGGACATGTGTGCCATTCCATTGCCATGAACATTCTTGAGTTGATTCCAGAATAGTGATGTTCACCACCACGACATTCAAGTACAAAAACAAACAAACAACCCATACACCCACCTGCATCCTGGAGGGTGGGGGTGGGGCCATCAGCACAAGAGCAAAGCATATCTTACACACTCGAGGGTGGGGCCATCACCACGAGCTGGGAGTTGAGCATAGTTGGGGATGGAACTAGCACTGCGTATCCATAAGTATGGTGCCCCCCCAAACTTTAGAAATAAGATCGAGCATGCCTCTGGAAATATCTTCTGCTATCGCCCTGCCACCCTGCCTCACGGCCGTGGCAACGTGCCTAGCAGAGTCAAGGATAGAGAAATCGCTGCAAGAAGGGATGGCCACAAGAGTAGAGAGAACATCCAAGCACCAAAATGTGGAAGAAGCAGCTCGGCACACATGAACCAAAAGCACGCGCTTCACATTGATGTTGAAATTAATGTTACTTGGACAGTAGGACTGTTCAGAATTGCAAAGAAGCTTACATGCCAAACAACGACCCATTAACAAAAGTCGTCAGGCCCAAGCGGCCCTGGCAGGCGACTAAAGTTTTGACCCATTGCCATTTCCTATTGTAGGGTGATTGAGTACGCTGCATGCCACATGAGGAATGGATTACCACACGGTATATTTTAGTGGATTCTAAGGTTTGTCGATCCCTTCTGCGTTGCCAGAAGCCATCTCATGACTTTGTACCTCATGATTCAATATCCTCTCTTGCTCTGGGCCCAAAACCTAGTCTAGTCCTTAGGAGCTCTCATACACTACAAACTTTCGGGAGATGTTCGAAGAAGCTGGCTATTGCATGAAAAAGGCCTCACCCCCCACCCCCCAGGATGTAGGTGAGCATAATTGCTGGTTTCTTTGTTTGCGGCTCAGTGTAGTGTTGATCCCCAACCCCCAGGATGCAGCGTCGAATGTACAGAAAGCTTTTTCGCCAGAGGGCGCGACCCCAACAGACAAAGTGAAAATGTGAGTGGTGAAGTGCCGCAAACGTTTGAGTTGTTTGCAGGGTCGTGCAAGTTGTCAAAGTGTCTGAAGTTGCATGGATTTTCCGCAGTAGGTATAGACCATAAGAAGTGTAAGAACCGAGTAGGACCGTGTATAGTGCTGGATTTGTCCAAGTCAAGTAGTGCCAAGTTCTTGCAAAGTAAGATTGACAGCGGCAGTGTCGTATTCATCCCAATGGCCCCGTTTTGTTTTGTGCTTGAGTGTCGTGCTGATGGCCCCCCCACCCCCAGGATGTAGGTGAACTGTTAGTTGTTTGTTTGCTTGCTTGTTTGTTTGTTTGTTTGTGGTTGAGTGTCGTGGTGATGGTTCCACCCCCACCCCCCAGGATGCAGGTGAGTGTATGGGTTGTTTGTTCGTTCGTTCGTTCGTTTGTTTGTTTGTTTGTACTTGAGTGTCGCGGTGATGGCCCCAGCCCCCAGGATGCAGGTGAGTGTGAGAAGTTGTTGGTTTGTTTTGTGCTTGAGTGTCGTGCTGATGGCCCCACCCACCCCCCCAGGATGTAGGTGTGGTATTCCACTAGATCCCCGCCCACCCCACCCCCCAACCCCCCACCCCACCCATGATGCTGGTGATGCTGTTGTCGTTGCAAGTGATGTAAAAAAACTAGTGGTCAGTGTCGTCGCAAGTGAGTGGTTGACCCTTTGGAACTCCTGGATCAATTTACAAACATGATTTTTATTCCAGTTTTGGCGCGCGGCGTTTTAAGCACGGCCACGCAGGGCCTACTCCTGTTGCCACCCGGGACTCGGCGTCTCTTGGGCATCGGCAGGTTTTTTCGCTGGTGATCTGTTGGAGGGTGCTGGTGTATTTGTGATTCTGACTCAACCAACTCTTTTTGTGTGATGCGAAATGCTCACGAGCCTCCATTCTTGGTGGAGTTTTTCTGCTCACCCCTTGTCGCCGGTCGGCTGCTTGGTCTTTTTTGTTTTACTACCGAACTGTCCTCAGCGAAAGCGGCAGGTACATGCAGCAGTCCAAGCTGCACCGCCTGTTGTTGCCAGGGCCTTTGTCGGCCTGGCCCTTCAAGGGGGCCTTTTCGGGCGGCCTTAGTGGCCTTGGTGAAATCAGGTCTTGGGGTTCAGTCAGGTCTTGGCAATTCTATGCAATTCTGATCAATTCTTCATGTTCACCATATTCAACCAAAGATGTACAGTGGTTTCAGAATGTTTCAGAGTAGATGGCACTGGCACCCCAAGATGTCCTTTGCAAGGGGTCCATACAAACATATACAAACCGCCTTTGGGGGATTGTGACATCTACTCTGAACCCACTGTGCTTGTAGTTGAAAGGATTTGCACTTCCAGTAGCCAAGGGCCATCCAAGAGCCTGAGAAAAAACAGTGGAGAGAGACCTGTTTGTTCAGAGCTTCCACACAAAATGCTTTGGGCCTAGGCCAGAGCCGCCCCGCACCTGCAATCAGCTGAGCTCAGCCCAAAACGCCGGCCACGTCGAGGGGTTCGGGTCCCTGAGGCAGCTCTTGGCGCAAGAGCTGGGCAACGAGGAGGCCAAAGAGATGCGCCACTTGGATCGTCAAAGCGACACCAAACTGTTTCTCGCTGCTTTTTGGGGAGCGAGCGAGCTGGACCAAGAAAGGTTTTTTTTTGCGGTCACATGTGACACCCTCACTGGAATTCCACAACACTCGAAATACCTCGAAATCCACACGTGGTTCCTTTGTTTAATGAAGGAGGGCTTGCCAATAGTTTGGCTTGCCAATAATAGTTTTGCAGGGGTTGATCATTGATCAGGGGAATAGTTCGGGAATGATGTCCACGGAAAAGCATCACCTCTGTAGCCCCCTTTCGAAGTGCTGGTACGGAGCTGGTGGGATTGAGCTTCGATGTAGATTTTGCAAGCCCAAGAGTCTCTCAACATCATCCAGTTGTCCTGTTGTGTAATTTTCTCGAAACAGCAAGTCAACAAAGCTGATCTGATAGATTTTGATAGTACGTATAGTATGATTCTCATTCTATCAAGTAAGACTTCAGGTGATGGATTGGATTTCTTGATACCTGCATGGTGGGTTTCTTATGAGTTCGATGGTGGTTGGATGAAACCTTTCAAAGTACTTTTTTCCAAGGACTAATCCCACCAGTCTTAGTACCGGTCTTTTATCCAGATGGTATCAGTATGTATCAGCCCTAGGGCTCCAACCACCTCCGTTTCGAAGGTGGTTGGGGTGGGTGCCAGGGGGGTCTAACCACCGAACCTGAGGATATGGGACAGGAGCCCTAGGGCAGTATCCCATGGTCCTTCAGTAGGAACCCCCAAAACCTCTCTACTTCACCCTTTGGAACACCGTTCCTTGGGTTTGGGGCCCGAACTCCGCCGCGAACTGAGGTGAGCTGTTTCTTCAAATCGATTCGGCCAGCGCCTCACGTCATCCGTGGTGGTGGTGAGGGTGGTAACAAGGTGCAACAAGCCCAATAAGAAAGGTGGTGAAGGAAGGCAGCGAACGATGACGGTGACCATTCCGTTTTTGAGAAAGGCGCAAGTTAAAGCAATCTATAGAATTAAGAAACATGCAAAACTATGTAAGGATTTCCAACGTTTTGCATGACACATTCGGTGGAATTGAACCGCACCCGATTTGCAACACCATTTCGTTGTGTCATTGAATGATGCTTCAAAAGGGAACTCTTAGACCATTTTCTTGGGGTAGCTAAACCTAGGCGATGATTTTGATGGAATCCACCTGGAAACCATGAGTAGATGTTGCATGCATTTGCAGGCTTTAATTTGTCTTCGCCAGGGGATTTGGGCTCAACACCATGCAACACTCCAGCGTTGAGCAGACCTTGGTTGGTGGACTTTTTATATAGTCAAATCTACAGAACCTGCAGTGTTAATTTGGCCCAGACAAGCAGCTCACCTTTCTTCACGAATCCGCAGAAGGGCGGCATCATAACTATAGGAAGGGGCACCTCATTTGGGGGATCAGGGCAGGGCCCCTCCAGTCATCCAAGATCCCCAGTTGTCATCTCAGGAAGATTCTCCCATGAACCTCTGGAGAATCCGATGAGACTGCTCCAGTCAGTCATCTCAGGATCCGACATCCTCATCCGTGCCCCTCCAATCATCATCGAAATCGCCCAGACACGAGCCGTCTGGGACTGCCATGCCTACTCACCCCCCTGGCACCACCACCCCGATTGATCGGCAGTCCGGTCGGACACTCCGACGTTGAGGATGAGCGTGGCACCATCCGGCTGGGCGACTTGAAGGCCTACGAAACGGCCGGAGCTTCACCGGAAATTGGAAACCAGCCCGGACCGGGATCCAGTCGTACCGAACCTCAGGAAGTGAAGAAGGAGACACTGAGACATGTAGGTGTTCAGGGTCCAGTCGTGCCTTCTGAGAAGGTACAACTGGATCCCGGATGGGCATGAAAAACATCATGTCATAAACTGTATAACTCCTGATGAATCAGCCTCAGCCATTTGGCATTGTGAAACCTGTTCATTAAACACAAATTGTGCTCTTGTTTCATGATCTTCAAATCGAATGAACAACTTCAGCGGTGGATATTGCGGCGGATTTTGCCGGGATCTTCCCACGATGGATTCCTTCCAGAGGTTGCTTTGGGGGGATTTTTTGCAGCCGATAGACAGCATCCGCCAGCCTGCAGCCATGTGAAGGTTAGAACGGATCACCAGAGCGTGTATGCTGGGAAGGTTAGATCCCCAACTGCCCATAGATGGGTGTGTACTCTCCCTGGCCCAAAGGAGCCGAACTGGGTCTCACTATTAAGACTCAGACTGACTCCTTCAAAAGACGCTCTATAGAAGAATCCTCTAGAACAACATGTTTATATGTATACCGTTATTTGTAAATAGAACAATACCAAAAAAGGCCGAGCTCCTGGAACGAACCGAGAACAACAAAAAAAACGAAGGAACCGTGTCATTCGACTCATGTCATTCGACTCTTTGGGGGGGCCTTTGATCGACACCGGTCGATCGCCTCGTCGCGCCGAACGCGCGGACCGCGCTGACCGGAGGCCGCCATGGCCCGGCGACGTGCGCCGGTCTGGGAAGCCTGGCCGGTGGACTGGAAAGAGATCGGAGCTGGAAAGAGACTCAGAGCCCTAAGAGGCTTTGGACATGCTTGGACCCTGTAGGACCGGGGCGGACCTAGTCCCGAGCCAAACCACCAAACCTCGGGCTTTAGTCCTCGATTCGATGCTCTGAGGGAGGACCAGGATCGATCGGACCAGGTCCGACCGCTTTGACGTTTGTGTGTTCTTTCATGCTGTGTGTTATAGCTCATCACGGCTCATCACCCTCACGAAGTTCGGGCGTGCCAGGCAACGTTTTCACTATAGCTCTTTCAGGTCATGTGTCGGGCATAAGCTTTTTGGCCATGCCTTCCCAAGCAACCGGGGACGGGCTGATGAGTTGAATAGAGGCTTGCACCTGGGAGTTTTGGTTCACCTGATTTTAGCATTATATACATCGTTTTGCTGGTATTTTCAGTTATAGCAAAGCCTTAGCTGAAACATGTTATAACTGAAAAGCCTTTCGCATACATAGTTTTAGCATACAAATGGAAGGGCCTTACCTGTTTTGTGTCGATCGTTACGAGGCTTTTGTGTCCAGTTTTCAGAGTCGGGAGTTGAACTGGAAGCGGGTCGACTCGGATCCAGAACAGGCCGTAGGGTTCGTGGAAATGGGGCATGAGCTCAAGTTTATCCCAGACACGACCTGTTTGGGACTGGCATATTTACCCATCAGTTGGTGTGGTTGACCCGGGGTATTATGTAAATATGTGCCATACATGAAGTGCTTGGGTATAAATCTATAGCAGTTACTGCACGATATTGTACAGCAGCATCTCACACTGATCCATACTGATCCGATCGATCCCACGGTTTGGCCTGGTTGTCCTTTGAGTCAACTGAACGTGACTTCACTGGCATGGTGTTCACTGGCCCTGAAAGAATCATGGTGGAAGTGAAACATGAGCCCTGCAAAAGACCATGACATCCTCTAAAGCGGAGGCTGAACTCCACGTTGCCGCGCCCATGTTCTTCTCTGTTGCGTTCCGTGTGTTACCACCCGCTCTTCGGGTGGTGTGGGCACCACCCTGGGCATCATGTCAGACACGACCTGCCCGCTTGGCCCGAGGGAAGCCCCAAAGGCATGATGGACATGGTGGTGGGCCGCAGGTCCGGCCCGCATCATCGGAGCGGGTCAGAGACACCCCAAAGACCGGTGGTGGGTCTGAAGACCTACCGTATAAGATGATGTCCATCTCACAGCCACACAACTGCTTTCAGTGACATTGGATTTATATATTTGTTCATTTTTAATCAGTGTTAAATAACTAAATCATCAATTCCAGTCCCTGGCTAGCTGGGATGGTCTTAACCGTAAGAACCCCACGTCGTGACTGACTAGATGTGACTAGTGTGTCCACACTGACTGTTTGGGGAACAAAGGTGAGCTCATTGGGAATCACACTGATTGCAGCGAACGTGAATCAGATGATGTTTTTGGAGATCCTTTGGGATGAAATCGCTGCCCGATGCTCGGTTGATGTTTTTTTCTTCAAGATTTCAGACTTCAGCTGCGTTTGCTCACTGTTGCCTTGTTTGTGACGCAGTAGACGTGAACGGTACAGGTTCAAATAAAAGAGTAGAACGGGTAGAACGATCGTGAACGATCCGTGTTCACCGAAATGAGAAAAGCCGAAGGGTCGAACGATCATCCAAGTGGCCAGGATAGAAACCAGCCTCGTTGATTGGCCATGCCAGGATGAATGCAAACTCGGACTTCCCCATGCAACATGTTGTGCGACTGAAGACCATCATGGATAGTCAGAAAGCGCCACACTTGGGAGGATTAGCTATTATATATATACACCTAGTAAATCATAATAAGTGTGCATTGCTTTAGTCATTTTTGAAAAAAACAATGTTTTGCAAATAATGACACTTTCTCAACTTCACAGATCCCAACATACACTTTTTGGTATTTCACAACATTCCAGACATGTTACATGAGAAACCGGATCCAAAGGGTTCCCAGCCACCGGGCTCAAAAGAAACACCAAAAAACAAGAGCGGAAATACCCATCCAAAAGGCGGAAATCAGCGGAACAAAAAGGCGGAAATACCTGGACAAAAATATTGCCCAAGTTTGTGTCAGGTGTGAAGGGTCAATTTGAAGTGGATCTGTGTCCACTGAAATTTGCCAGGAAGACACGATAGCACTTTTCACTCCCGATTACACTTTTGCTTGAAAGAGTCCGTTTTTTTGCTTCCAAATCATCCGATGACAGAAATAAAGGCAAGGTTGGGTTTTCAAGGTATATATACATGATTATATACTGTATGTACAATATCCTTTTCACCTTGAGTTTTCATCCTTTTCACACTTCTGAACGTCATGGTTACGAATGGTTACCAATATCAATCTTCCAATGTGTCCCCTTGTTTTGCCCATCGCCTGACGGACTCAACCACGCGTGTCCCGAAAGGCTGACATCGCCCAACCTGAGCCCCACCAACCAGATCCCGGAGGAACAGGCGCGTTTCGCGAAACCTTCCCCACGAGTTTGAGCCGCTGTCAGATTCCTTCTTTCCATGTCAGAGTTCCGGGTCTCTATGTTTGGGGGTTCGGCATTGTTTGTACCAGAAATCTCATTTCGGAGGAGTTCGTGTTGTTTGTTTGTTTGTCATGTGTTCACTACTCAGCAACAAACACAACTCTTTTTGTTTGGTGCGAAGTGTGAAGGTTTTATATTTATGAACGATTGAGAACTTCGAGTTCACGCGTCACGCGAGTGCGTGCCGTGGGTTCATTAAGCGATATATAAACGTATTTTTTCCAGTTGGATTGGCATGTCGATCCATGCCAATGGAAGGAGCAAGCCCTAGGGCTTCTTAGGCTTGGTACAACTGGACACTCCTGGCACCTACATGTCTCAGTGTCTCCAATACTTGAGAAGGTACGACTGGATCCCTAGGGAAGGCTTTGAAGGTTTTTGGAGTGCGCCCAACAGAACCCTTCAATTCCGCCGCCGCCGAACAACATACTCATACATGTCAATACCCCTCCGACTCCTACTAATTAAGTAGGTATGTAGGTACCATTGGTGCCACAGATACCACACATGAATTCGTTCTACAATTGGATGTTCGTGGATGTTCACCTTCCCCCCTAGTACTTCAAACCTAAGACGATGAGCTTCGCTTCAAGCTTCGGTTCTGAAAGGATGTTTCAGAAAGGATTCCATTCCACTTCCTGCATTTCATGATCAGAAGGGGCCGCCAAACGGTTTGCCAGGTTGAACAGATCTTCAGCATGTTGGATGCCAACGGCGACGAAGAAGTCCACTATTCCGTGCCTGGGCCGGCCAGTTGAACAGACCTGGATACGACGGCATGACGGAGCGAGGAAACCAACAGGAACAGGACCCAGCCTTCCAGCCAGGGCCAAGGGCGACAAGAGCAAGGTATTGATGTTCGACTCAACAGAAGTGCCCATATTCTACCCAGATCAGAAGAATGTAGCTGAGGGAACATGTTTGATAGGTCACTGACAACTGATGGAGGGTTCGGTTCGATTGCTGTTAGTGACTGGGTCAGTTCGCTGGTAGCTGTGTGATGAATCTGTGGCTTTTTGGGGCCAGGGAAAGGCATGAGACGAGATAAACGTATGAAACATGACTCTACATTCGAAAGCTTGGGCAGGGAGGGTCTTATCTGGTTTGTGTCGTAGATGGTTAAAACTTAACAAACCGCACCGTAAAAGCTGGATGGTAGAACACCACACCCATGTCGAGAAACTCAAGGCTTTTGAATGATGTAGATCTCTCCACGCAGCTTATGGTATTTCATGGTTATTGAGTTGCATGATGTTGAGTCGAATCCATTCACCTGGAAGGGAGGAGGAAGGATACCATAAAATATGACATATATGGGTCCTGGCCTGGCCTTTGGCATGCCGGCCGTATGTCATGTCTGGACTTGCTGCCACGTCTCAGGACTTCCTCGCTGCCACGGTGAACATGCGCGGCCGCTGGAGGTCGCGGTCGCGTGGGGTGTCGGGTGGAAGGGGAACAGATGAGTGGGGCATAGTCATATGTATAGGGGCATAGCCATAGTCAGTTAGGACAGACAGCAAAAGCGGCTTGGGAGGCTTTGGAAGTTGGAACATGTTGGAACATGATAGAACATGGTTTTCGTGATTTTGTGATGTTGAACCTTAAGCGCTGTTTGGGGGATGAGAGGTCCTTGATGCATCCGGTCTTGGAGGACCTTGGCTCTGCATCGGAAGCGTTGATCGCTGCAGTGTGAACAATGTCAATCACATCGCGTTGCTTTCGACTGCCGAAGGCTGACTGGTGCGACGAAAGTGCGACTCGTAGGGAATGAGGGAAGTTTCGCCCCCAATAGAGATTCTGGGATCCAGCCACCCTCATTCCCTACTTTCGTCGCACAAGTCAGCCTTCGGTCTGTTCGGTCTTCGATTCAGAATTCAGCAGTGAAAACCGGACGTCCGTGCTGTCAAGCTTCTCCCACGCCGCAAGCTTCGAAACCGAACACCGTGTGACACCGGAGGACACCACCGCCGGCAACGGTGTCCCACCGGTCACCGATCCGCACCATGGCACTGTGACACGCAGAAAGCTCCATGAGCAAATCCGATTTTGCCAGGGTTTGACATTATTTCAGAGGCGCACGACCCTTTTTCCCCCAACCACACGGCGGTCTCCTTTATTTTCAGCGCGGAACACCACCCGCCGAGCTCGGCATGGCTCGGCAGGCGGGAGGCGCTTCGGAAGATCTTCAACCGCATTGACCGGGATGCTTCGGGCACCATCAGTGTCTCTGAGGCGCTTCGGAACAACGGTGGATGGTGGGAGAAGGATGGATCAGGTTCCAGGCAAGTGCTTTGCCCTGGTTGGCCCACCCGAGTGTGTATGGATGTGTCTTATTTCCACGTCGCACGTCGCACGGGACGACGTTCAGACTCGGTGGTCGTTTTGCAGGTGCAGCGAGTGGTGGCAGAAACCGTGGAGGACGCCACCGCGGCGGAGGAGTTTCTGTCGCTTGGGCGGAAGGAGCAGAACTGGGTCGATCTGGGCGGAGTTCGCCCGATTCAAAACCGATCCCGAACCGGATGTGATTGGTGGAGTTTCTGATCAAAACTTGGCCCTGGCTTGCCCGTATGGCTTGGTATGGTTGTGGGTGATGCGGCTGTGATTTTGGCGCAATTGGTATTCTCGCTGTGCACCACATGCAAACTCATTGTTTCTTTGTGTTCACTAAGACTTGTTGCGGAGGAAAAGATAAAGGCATGGGTTGTTCCCAGCTCTCGAAGCCAAATCATCAGCTCTAGAAATCCTTCCAGTGTATCAGGGTCCTTGAAGTGAGCAGCTCTGATCTTGTACAGATGGATTACTTAAAGACCTTAAAACGAAATGTCTAGAGTCTATAGAGTCTACAGCAGTGTGATATAATATCATCTCCATTGTAGGTGGTGTACAGCAGGATACAGAGGGCTGGCCTTGGTCCACAGATGATCGCCCACAGCTAACATGGGTCCTGGGCAAACAACACAGTCTCCTGACGTTTCATGCAAGGCTCACGTCACGTCACAGACGCTCACCTTTGGTGTGCAGCTCGATGAGCAAGGGGCCCTTGCCAGACTCGTGCGATCTCGTGCAATCGTATATGATTCAACGTACCAGTTCGAGATCTTTGTCTACACTCCCTCAAATAATCATCGCAATGGAAAAGCTGCCCCTGGAAGACCATGCATTTCTCGTCCATGTTACAATGACTCGGAGAGTGCTCGACTCGACGAGGGACGGACGGTCTGACGTGTTTTTTTTTGTTGTGTCCTTTGCCAAGGAAAGAGTCCAAAGTGACACTGAACAGCAAGGGGGAGATCAGCTTCGAGGTGCGACTGGACGACAGAAAAGCACCCACGGTGGTACAGCGCCCACCTCCCGGTCCCTCCATTCCTGGCCTCAAAAGCACTGGAGGATGGTGGCATCACGGGGGCACGAGACGACGAGCAACAAAAAGCGTCATCATGTTTGCAGCAACAGATATGAGCAAGTTGATATGATGATTATGATGAATTGATGAATCACAAGCGGCTGTTTTAATTTAGAACGACTCAAAAGCTGTTGCTGGTTAAATCAAGAACATTCAAAGAACCAATTGATGAAGTTTTGCAGATGAACAACATTCCCTGCCCTGGACAAGGATTCATCAAGCAATAGAAGGGGAAATCAATACTAGAAGCTACTAGGTGGATCTAGGTGGAGGCCAGGCCATCGCTACTAGTAACCATGGCCATGTTCCCATCCCCATGTGCCGCTCGTCCCCCTGGTGCCCGGCGCGCCTCACCGGTCCGCTAGGCCTTTGCGGACCTCTTCGAGCGGAAAGATCTGTGCATCACCGGGCGCGGAACCGCAGAAACACCGGTGGTGGGCGGGTGAAACAGATGGTTATCAGCCCTGAGGAAGTGGTGTCCAAGTTGTCCAAGTAGCATCAATGATGTGTTTGTTTAGTTCTTTATATATTCTTAAAACTTTGTTTGAGGGTCAATGTCAAAGGTGATTCCCCGATTGGGTATAGATTTTTAAGTGGCTTTTCGAGTTTCGTATTCAGTGTACTATTAAACAGGGCTAGTATACAGGTTACAGTGTAGGTCACCTAGGTGGCATGCCACTCCCCGCTTCGACCAATTCTAAATGGGATCCACGTAAGCGTTCCCCCTTGTTTTCTGATTTTTCGGTATACTGGACAAGACAAGTGAATGCTGGGGATTTTTTTTTTCCCGATCTCACTGTTACTTATTCAGTCTATACTGTCGAAGAAATAGGGACTCACAGGCGATTTTTCTGAAGAATCATTTCCATGTTTGAGACCAAGTCCTCAAGGGCTGGAGATGTCCGTTGATTTGGAGCTGGTTCTTTAAGTTGTTTTTCACCAAAGAGGCCTGCCCTAACCTTCTTGGCCCTGTAGTTGTAGCCTAGACCCGACCCGCATTTCGGATCATCTGGGGTCGTATATACTTAATATATGCCAGTCCCATTAGGCATTAGTCGTGTTGGAGATAGACTTTCAACACCCATTTCTCTAAGAGGTGGAAAAGCATTGAAAACACTAAGCAAGAGCTGGTGAAAACACGGTTCATTTGCACGATGAAGGTATAATAAGTTATTGCATTCACACCCACTTTGGACTCCGGACATCTTTCTTCTGATGTTTTTGAACAGAGGATAGACACTGAAACATCCAGCACTTTGGGGCGCTTTGCGCTTCTTGGATTCCCACGGGACGCCCCACAAAACCGCCAGTCCCGCAGCTCGCAGCTCACAACTTCCTCAGGTCGTCGCCGGTCACCCGCAAGGACATGCTGAAAGCTTGTGCTTGGGACGAGTCCCCTCACTCCTGGAGGAGGCGGGGGAGGAGCGGAGGGGGGGGACGGAGTGGGAGCGGCTCGCGGAGCGTAGAGCTGTCCCACTTGGAGGATTGTGAGGATGGTGCGGATGGCGCTTTGATGTGACTCAAAAACGCGAGTTGACCTGTATACTGTCAGACAAAGACTTAGAACACAATTAGAAAAAGAAAAAAACACCCCGGGGTAAATATGTTCTAAGTGTATGGGTAAGAACAACGCCGACCTTCTATATAATATGTTCTAAGTACATGCCTGCAAGTATATACTCTAGAACTCTATATACATTTGTATACTATCGATATCTATCTCATTATCATTATCAATCGTATCCATATTGTCTCCTGGAACAAATCGACATGTTTTTCTTTTCCAATAAATCCACGAGATGGTCTCCCTCTACGTGGACGCTGGAGATCGACCAGAATGGGCGGCAATCCAAAGAACCAGTTATAAGTAAATCGGTGCCCTCCGCTCTAGAACAAGTGTTCCCAAGCAGAAGAGTGCTGAAAAAAAAACAAGAGAGTCTCTTTCAGCTGAGTCATTTCGTGGTGCTGAGAGCACTCCCGGAGACATGGTGGTAGTGCTATGAATCAGGTCTACAGTCTCCCAACCCTATTCATACCTCGTCTCTCCGTCCACGTTTTCGGTCTTTTGCGCGCAGGAGACGACAGAAGCGTTTCACGCGCTCTGAGTCTGAACCATAGGGACCCCCCTCCCTGCGGCCAAGAAAAACCGCACACAGTCGCAACGGAGGTGTTGCCGCGGTCGGACGGAGAGAGCGGTCAGAGAGAGAGAGAGAGAGTTTATAACATAGATCTCTTGAGTCATGGATCCTTCCATATGAAGAGGCTTTTTCAATCCACATGAGGGTGTTAATCAAGAGTCTCTACATGCCGCATGCCACGTGGATGTTTGGTCAGAAAGCCACGACGATCAACCAATCACCATTGAAGTAAAGGTTTTAGACAGTGGCCCAAAAGGACTGGGAACGCATCAACCCAAAGGACTTGGGTTTAACGGGGGAATCAAAGCCGGGCGATGTTTAGGTGGGACTCGGGCCGAGGTGTTGATTGTTGATTGTTGATCGTTTGCATCGGTCCTGGTATCGTTGAGAGAGTTAAAAAGTGGTTAGGTTAGATATGATTAGAAAGAGAAGTATATAGATGTTATTTATATAAATAGTAGTAGAAGGTAAGAGATTGGGAAGTACATGCAGCCAAGACACGGTGAAAGGCAAACAAATAATTCAAAGAGAAAAGACATGCGGGAGAGATTGGGAGAGGGGGTTGGATGACGAGACGGATGTAGGTGTCGGGGCTGGCTGGCTTGTGTCACTACCTTCTCAGGTTTTTGTGTGCCAAATCCAGGACATGTTGCTGATGTTTCTCGGTTGCACATCCTGAGCCACACCAAGCCACTAAAAAGACAAGAAACACAATCATCATCATGCTGGCAAGGTTGGACACCTTGTGCAAAAACGATGAAACCATGTGGAACCGAATCACCTGAGAAACACATCTGGATTGTTTTCCACAATCGCGCGCGTGTTCTTGATGCTCAGCTTGCTGCGCAATTCAGGGCGGCATTGGGACACCCAGATGAGAGAGTTGAACAGCATGCCCCTGCATGACATGGAAGACACCCAGTATCACATGTCCTACCCTTTGACATGAGTCAGCTTTTGGCCAGAAACCGCCAACCAACATGGACAGGCCTTCATAGAATGAGACGTGACACAACATTATACTTAAACTGGATCATGCCCTCGGAAAAGGAACGGACGAATATCACCGGAATGAAACAATGGGTCGCCCAAATCGTACACAACTTAGCCACAGGACCTTCGGAACCGCTTTAGAACCCACGGTCCGCTGCGGTCCAACGCAGAACGTTGAACTGGATCTCGTTGGTTCCAACGCGGTCGATGCTGCCATGTGCGATGCGGTCCAGCGGGACGCAGTTCGCGGGACGAGCGGAGCGGAGGTTCGGTGCATCCAAGCCACGTGCATTTCGGACCGACTGGAGGGATGGTAGACATGTGATTTGTATCGACTGGAGGCGAAGAACCGGTGCCCGGAGTGGTGCGTAAAAGTGGTTGACTGAGGAACTCGAACGGAACTCGAACGGATCTCGAGCGTCATGAAACGAGTGAACTCTTCGGGAACAGAAGGGAACTAAAGAACAGGTTTTGTGTGGAGTATGAGTGTGTTCCACAGAAAAACATACGCCTATAGCCTAGAGCTGCAATTTATATCGAAATTGTCCCCAACTTAGTGCCACTTCATGACCACTAGCACGCTTTCAATGAACGCTCCAAACACAGCACCTATATAGCAGGGCACTGTATTGTTGTTTTCTTTTGTGTGTTTTGTACATCTGACAAACATTCGACCCCAAAACCCATCTTGGAGACACAAACACCGCCTTTCGGTCGGCCCTGAGTCGGTCCTGACGGCCGAAAGTTCGCCGAACGCGCCAGGCCACGAGGCTGGGCGCCACCGTCGCGCGGCCCATGATCAGCTTTGCAGCGCTGGGCCTGGTGCCTGGGCAGAAGCGACGCGACGGCGAGGGCGAGGGCGATGCCGGTGCGTCAGGCGTGTGTGTGTGTGTGTGACGTGACACGGGGGGGAGTGACATCAGGGGGGAATGGAAGCCGACAGTGCCAGTAGTTGCCATGAGTGACCCTTTGAGACGGTTTAAGCATTGAATCTTCCTATAGTTTGAATCATGGAACCTGCCTGGAAGCAGGGTTTGGACCCGAACCAAACCCTCACCCAAGACCGCCAAGACCCAAGATAAGGCTCATGATTCCAGCGAGTAAGACATATACTTTCCTCCTTGGCAGTTTTGAAGTCTGTCATCTAGCCAAGAGCCTGTCAAGGATTTCGTGGACCGAAAGAAACGCTTGCTCTTAGGAACGTGCATGTACAAACAGTCAACCATCAACAAGCAAATCCATCATCTGGTAATTGGTGGACTGATGTGTGCAGCCAGCAGTCACTGCAATTCATTCACAACTAACCACAAAGTGAGTGGGCGAGGCTTGAAATCTGCCAGCAACCAGTGGGCTCGCCGGCCATGGGTTGGTCAGTGCTGCTGAGTTCTTCTGAGGCCCTCGTCCTTGCAGTTCTTTTGGCACCTCAACCAGTTTCCAGGCCCGCCGTGAGCGATTTGAAGACCAGCACATCCTTTGCATCGCACGCTGTTTTTTTGAGAGCAAAGCGATGTTACTGGGTGCAAGAAAGAGCATGTGTCATTTGTAGAAGCGGCCAAGGTCAACATTAGTATGAACTGAGAGAGGTGCTGTTGGTTTTTGGCGACAACAACAGCAGCATGGCAAGTTACTTAAGTTGTCAAGCCGTCGACCTTTAAGAGTGTCATGTACCGTCATTTGCTTTTGTAAAGCCCGTTGTATTCCATACCTCAGGATCTTTTTGGCTGGTTACAGAGAATCTGTCGGTTTTTGGATGACTGTCCTTTTGGTTTTCACATGTTTTGACACAGAGTCTCTTCCGATTTGCCCATCGAACACAGAAAAATCCCCCCAGCTGGTTGGAGATGTAGTAGGCAATCTGTGCGACAATGGTGATGAATCCCCATTTGGATCCATTTGGTAGGAGTAGGAGATTTGTAAATTTGTAGGGAATCTATGTGATGGTGACACAAGTCTGAATCGAACGCTTCATGGTTGTTCATGGTTTTATATTTTTATTGTATACAATGTTCTAAGTCATGATGAAAACAAGATCTACAGTTTACAACACACCAGTCAAATCTGGCATGTTCAACAAGTTCTTGGAATGGATCCAACGTCTTGGCATGGGTTTTCCGCCGCAGCCAAAGTGGCCCGAAGCGTTCCGTTTCGCTGCGTGTCCTTCCATTCATGTCGTGGTGCCGATTCATGTTGGCTGATGCCTGAAGAATCTGAAGAACCGAAACGTAGCATTACTGAGGTCAGCCTGGAATTGCCCAGCAGAGGTTTTTCTTTCCCCCCCCGCAGAAATTGGACATGTGTTTCTTACTTGGCGGGGAATTCATGGGAATGGTTCGAATGGTGAATGATTGGGTTTTGCTTGGACCCTGAATCCTGCAAACTAAGGTCATTGAGAGTCTTGGATATGGACCCAGCCAGATCTTGACTTGCCCTTTGGCAGCATGAAAAAGCACAGAAAAGCAGGCCGTTGTTGCTGACAACAACATGTTAACGACCATCACAGAACCCAGTCGTTGAGTTCCTTGGAACCGAATCGAATTCTTCACGTTGCGGACCAGTCGGGACCATTCGGGCGAACGAGCAGGCTTGTTGGTGAATGGATCCTGGCTCGCTGATGGCTGCGAATTGTTGGTGCTTAGCGACCTGGCTGAAGATCCGCATTTCCCTGACCCACAACGACTCGAGTGAGGACACTTTCGATACACCGACCTTGTGTGGTGAGGACACTTTCGGCGAAGCACCACCGGCGATGGGTTTTGAGAGGTAATAGCTTTGCTAAATACATTCTAACACCCGTGGTGTTTGATTTTTTTGCGTGGTGTTTTGGTCGTTTTGGGATGACGAACGAACTCTCGTCATGTCATGTCATGTCGGTGGTTGCTCGTCCCCAGGCTCAGATGTCTAGGCGTCATTTTTGGTTCCAACACTGACACTGATACTGTATTTATATCCCAGACACGACCCATGGGACTGCCATAGGACTGCCGCCCCAGAAAGACCCCCAGTCAACCACCCCCAACTGATCGGCATATATGGCAGTCCCATGGAGTGTTTGGGTATTGGGTTTGTCCCTATGACCTGAGAAAGGCCTGCAACTGAACCATCATCATCCACTGGGCCCTGGTAATAGGATAGGTCCAAGTATTAATAGGTCTTGGCTTGAAGGCGAATGAGATTCACGATATGCTTTGCAGGTAGGGAGCTTTATGTCGTTGAGGGCCGGGTGCATAGTTGGAGCTTTGGGGTGAATATCTTTTGATGTTCAATGACGTAATTTGTTTAGCACTCACAAGTTCAAAAGATGGTACTGCATTGTGTTTGTACCGTACCCATGGCTTGAACAGAGGTCCCGGGTCCATTCATGTTCCTTCAAAAGTCTCCAAAATGGAAGTGAACTGAACTTCTAATTAGGAACCTGGCAAGTGCATTCGTCCCGCTCGGGTTGTTCGTTGCATTAGCGTCTCCCGAGGTTCCATAAGCACCATTTTAGCGACGGACTGGGATTTAAGTCCTCTACAGCAGGGCGTTCTGCTGCTACTTGGTTTCTGTTTTGCTTCGGACGGATTTGGGTAGCGGTGACTCAAAAACATGGACAAATCGCATCGTGGAATCATGGGTGTTTGTTCAACATTCGTTGAGCGGTTTTTTTGTGCCTTAAGAAGGGGAAGTGTCGTGACTTGTACAAAGAAACACTGCTGACTGACAGTTGTTGATCTTCAGTGCCCCCAATCAAGTGTGACCTCAACAAGTTTTGTTGAAAAACTACCTCAGGAGAGTGCCGCATGTTAGAAAGTGGGGCAGGGATCAACTCGATGGGTTTTTGCTTCACGAACGAGCACACATGATGCTTGCCCCCTCCGTATCCAACCTGCTACCCTGCTTACTAGTAGGCTGTTGGCTTACAGCCAACTACGCCCTGTAGACTGTTTGGTCGTGTTTGTTCTTCAAACGCTGAACGGTTTGGACCATGCTGGATCATTGTCAGAGAGAACCACCATGACTGACTCCCCTTGACGCGACCCATGGGACTGCCATAGGACTGCCGATCAGTTGGGGTGGTGCCAGACAGGTCAATGGGGCGGCATAAACCTTGCTGACTTCACAGTTTTAGGTGGACACCAAGACCTTGATGGCAGCTTGGAAGATGTTCGAAGGTGCGTGATGTCTCATTGCAAGCCCCAAAATTTCTGATGGGTCACCTCACCCTGAGAGGCCACGACTACACATGTTTTTTTCGGTGACCCAAGTTCATGTGTTGGTTTCTAAGGCCCATTGTTTGACACACTTCGATGAGAAGCACGACCAATGCGACCCTCACGACGCCCTTCCGAGCCACCAACCCCCCAAGGTCTTCTGTCCCACCACGTGACACTCACTGGTCTGAGCACGACGTGGGTCGAGGAGATCTTCCACGACCGCCGCAACAACCGACGTCCGAGGTCTTCCGTCTACGTGGGCGTGCTCATGGGAAACCTGATGAGCGGCTGGGTGGGCGATCGCCTTGGCCGCAGGAGCGCCGTGCTCCTGAGCCGCTCGCTGCGTTGGTCGCGGAGCGTTGGTCGCGGTTTGGAGAGGACGGAGGGTTCGGGGAGGAGGAGGGAGGTGAGGTGAGGTCGGAGGGTTATCACTTGGGTGATGGATATGGGAATTCTATGGAATTCTATAATGAATTGGATGTGGGAGGAAGATTCATGGGGGTGGTTGCGTGGATTGAGATTGGATTGAGGGTTGTACCTTCAGGCATGTAACCCGCTTGGAACGAAGATAGACCCTTATGCTGGATGGCCGTTTTTTAGCAAGCTCGCGTTGGAGGGATGTTGGAGGGACCATGGTAAGGATGGTAAGGAAGGATGCTGCATGATACGAATGCAAGGCCCGGCCACCAACCCCTGCAACAACCTCACTACACTACTCGTAGTACATAGCTGTCGTGTCGTTCCTGCGTTTCGCAATAGGTGTGTAAAGGAATGTGTTTGTTTATCACTTTTCTATCCCTGGGCATCCCTGGGCCTCTACAGGTTTAACTGTGTAGTCTCATGTCCTTATAAAATATATATAGTCCAAGTTCTAACCTTGAGACCTGTGTTTGCTTAATGTGTGTGCTGAATTGTGCCCATTTGTGTCTAGTTTTTTCTAGCGTGGGACTTGTGAAGTTCTGACTCACAATGAAACACTTAAAGCAAACATGATCTATAGGTAGTCTAGATGTGCGCTTCACGATCTCCCGTTTTTGCCTTCTTAGGCTTCCCCATCATCGCACTCTTGAGCGTTGCAAGCTCACTGGCCACTCGGCCGGCAGAGTGACGGTCCGGCAGATTGAGTCGATGTGACCTGAATGTGGGTTGTAGTGACCCCAAGAGCTTTGGAAGGGTGAATCAATATTGAATCCTCTTGGAACATGTATATGTGTTGGACACCTAAGGAAAGCGATCGGAATCCGATTGTTCTGGTGTTTTTTTTGGGGAAGGCAATTCTATGTGGTAGTTGTTGTACAATGCTTCAAAGCTCCGGATCAGGTGCACCGATCAGATCAGGTGACCCATGGGACTGCCGGACTGCCGATCAAGCCAGGGGTGACCGGGGGTCATGGAGTATTGGCATATATGGCGGTCCCATGTCGTGTTGGGTAACTGAAGGAGGGGAATATTTAAGATCAACGATCTGAGGTCCCCCATCCGAACACTCCGCAAATGTCATGTTTTCTTCCAACCTTGTCGAAGGCTCCCGTAGGTCATCTATTTTCTGGAAGCAACGTACCAGTCCTCGGTCACGGGGCAACTATGAGACACAAGCTGTTCATACCAGATACACACTGACTCACTAACATGGAAGTGGAACATGCTCTGCCCGGCCCCTGGCAGAGCATTTTCCATTTGCATGTTAGGAGTCCGAGAGTATTTGTTGCGTTTTTATCGCCAGTGCCCGACACCTCTGACCCACCAAATTGCTAGCCTGCGGGTTTTGAGGCCAACGGCTTTTGGGTACTGCTTCTTGGTCAAAGGATGTCATGTGGGCGAGTTGGAGGTCAGTGATAAACCTTGAAAACAAGCCATAAGGACTGGTTTGAACCACAAGCAGCATTTTGTTGGAAAGAACGAGTCAAAGGGAAAGGGAAGAGCTTCGGAAAGAAGACAACCTGTTCATTTTGGCTGTTCAATGTGCGATCTTCAAATCTTGGCAGTTCAATTTGATTGATTCCTTTTCTGACTCTTTTGATTCTTTTGGAGGTCATGTCAGGTGGTGAGGCTCAGTTCACCAATATATAGGGCCAACAAGAAAGCCCAATCAAGACGTCAAGTCACCCATATATAGATCTATGCGGAACAACACCCACCAAGGACATAGTTATGTCCATGCATGGAATCCGAGTGTTTAGTTCGTGTGGGAGTCGTTACAGAACATTCATGAACATTCTGTGATCCAACATAATATGTCTTTGGA